ACGCAGGACGGCCAGGCCGGCCAGGCGGTCCAGAGACACGAGCACCACCACCACCACGAGCACCACCACCATTACCACCACTTCTACCAGACATAGGCCCCGGCTGCCGCCACGCCAAGGACCCCCCCCCCAGGCCTTCTTATTCTATTAATTATTGTTATGATGACTATTGTTATTAATAATTATTGTTACTCCACTAATATTCAGCTAGCCTCCGTGTAGAAGATGTATGGCCACACAGGACTAAACCTTATTTATATGCCGTGGGGACTGCGTCACTCGCCCGAGACGGGGCTCCGGGCTCCCTCGGGTTCCCAGCTGTGGTTTCTCGCAGACCCACGCCCTTCCCAGCCCCCTGCCCCTCCCCCGGAGCCCCGGGCCGGAGCCCTGCCACGCTCCCATGGCTCCCAGGAGGGCACCCTTTCCGCCGGCTCCCAGAAACCCTCGAAATCTCTCTGAGAAGATACACAGCTGCTACCTCTTAGTATTATTCCCGTTCCCTTCTGCCCTGGACTGATGGTAACGCGCCCCAAGGATCTCCGCGGACAGCGGGTCGCCGGGCCGCCTCCCGGCTGCTGTGTGTGTGTCCCAGCCCAGGGCCTTCGCTGTCCTTCCTGCGGGATCGTTCCCAGTGCGGTCACGCCTCGCCCGCCCGGACCGCGGCCGTCTTCTCTGCCCGCACAACCCGAAGACACGCGTCTCCGTCCCTCCTCCTCCTCCTCGCTTCTTTAGAAAGATACGCACACAGTTAAAGACTGCCCCGAAGCCAGACTCCTCGTTCTGGAAACCTCCGAGAGGGAACCGGCCACATCAGCCATCGTGGCTTCCCCAGGCCAGGCAGCGGGGGAAGATGCGGGAACCTCGAGTTCTCCCCTCGGCAAGAATCCACGCGGCCGAAGCGGTTCCCTGACGGCTCTGTATCTATAGCTAGACGCCACCTGTCCATGTCGATGTATCTTTCTATAAATATACACTCTCAGGTACCTTCCCCGTGTGCCCGAGTGCCTGCTTCACTTCCCCAGACCCCTCGGAGCCCAGATGGGGCCCTGCGCGCCTCCTGCTGGGGCCACGGTCCATTGGATGCGAACAGCGACTCATCTGTCCTCGGGGGTCCTTTTCCTGCCTCAGGGTCTGACAGCTTTGGACAGGCCTGCTGGGGCCCAGGAGCTGGGGTGTGTGTGTTTGGTGGTGGTGGTGGCGGGGGGACATTGGCCAGAGCTGGCCCCAGGAGCAAGCTTTTGTCTGATGGGGGCCTGGAGGGGCCAGAAAAGGACCGCTCTCCACCCATGGGGACACACTCACATGGCGCTGGTTGAGGAGAGTTTAATAAAGGAGAGAGCCACACCGTGCGGGCAAAGCCAGCAGGAGTGCAGGATCCAGGCCAGCTCTGGGCTGTCACTCCCAGGCCTGCAGCGGGTGGAGAAGGGGAGTGATGCCGCCAGCCTGTGGGGACCCTGCAGGGACCTGCCATCCCGGCCTCCCTGTCCTGCCCGCTCTGTGCCCTGTTGTGCTGAAGCCATGGGGAGCTGGAGGGCGGGGGAGCTGCTAATGGGGGTCCCCCTGCAGGCGGGTGGGTGTCCTTCCCGGGCAGAGAAGAAAGTGGAGAGTGAGCCCAGCTGCCCGCCTGTCTGCTGCTTGGTCGCCCAGCTGCCACCCCCTTTCCCAGAGCCTCTGGTTTGGATTCACTGTGGTCGGAAAGGGGTTCTTTTGAAAATACTGGGCTTAGTTGTCACCAAATGATTGGGTTAGTGCCGGTGCGCCTGGGAGTGGATTAATACAGCTCATCCTCAGGACAACCCTCAGAGGCAGCCAGTGGCCGCTCGGGGAGCTGGAGCTCAGAAGAGGTTGAGAACTCACCTGAGATCACACAGCAGGTGGCAGAGCTGGGGTTCTAGTCTTTCCCGCCGTCCCTGAACCACTGCGTCTGGGCCTCTGACAGTCAGTGTCCAACACAAACTGATGGGAATGTAACCAAAGCAGGGAAGGCAGGGAGGAGGGAGGAGGGAGTCCCCCAGCCCCCCAAGGTGCTTTGTCACGGTGTGGGTGCGGCCAGCTCTCTGGACCTCACAACCAAGTGGGAAAGGATCTTACACTAGGCCTGTGGTCAGCAAACTGCGGCTCGCGAGCCACATGCGGTTCTCTGGCCCCGTGAGTGTGGCTCTTCCTAAGCCTTAGGAGTTCCCTAATTAAGTTAATAACAATGTACCTACCTATATAGTTTAAGTTTAAAAAATGTGGCTCTCAAAAGAAATTTCAATCGTTGTACTGTTGATATTTGGCTC